GTCAATTCTTGTTTTGTAAAAGAGCAGGAAGCGTTGGCGTCAATACTATAAAATACTACTTCAAAAGGCTGTGGCTGGTTTCCATAGCAACCATTTTGAGTAAAACTCTAGAAATTTAATTTCCCTTCTTGAGTGCCCACAATTGATCTTTCTTTACCATATTTAAACAAACTTTTTGGTCCATATTGAGGGTACCATACCACCTTAAAATGTTTAAGCAAGCAACCGGAACGATGATCCTGCTGGTATACGTTGGATCAATAGTGATCTAATCGGCCTCACATATAAAATGAAGAATACGAAAGCAAAAACCGACACAACTATATTTCGGCTGGCCAAACCAGCCTTCTTCAGGTTAACCCCCACCTTAAATAATTTAGGGCCATGAAAACGGAGTGAAAATTTCCGCAGCAGTATAAATAGCCCAATTTCGATATATTAAAATTCAGCCAAAAACAATAGACCTCAGTACGAGACTCTGGGGAATAACTACAGAGTTTGTGAGGTTTATTCCTCAGAGCCTCGTGCTGAGGTCTATTGTGTTAGACTGAATTTTAATATATCGAAATTGGTCTATTGGCATGAACTAACCAAAGAAATCGAAAGAACGAAAGCTAACGAAAGAACGAAAGAACCAAAAATAAAGACGCGGAATCTGGGCACTACTCGGCCACTCGCCCCTTCAGACTCACAGGGCAACCCCTTTTATCTGTACACACGTGGTACAATTCTCTCTCTTTCGCCGGCCATCTTGAATACGATAAAATGGTACGTGAGGAGGGATAAATGTCTAATTTTTTTTACCTTTCTCTTTTATGTTACACGTTGAAGGGAGTCAATATGAGCTCAAGAAATACTAAGCTGTATACTGGCGAAATTTGAAGATAAAATAGCAAAGCTTTCTCCTTAAATTTTGCTTGTAGTTTCGTTAAGAGGTTGGAATATTTCACAACGTGGATTTGTGTCGACAGTCGTTCTAAAATATCTGCTTTTTGTAAACTTCCTTGTTAGACGTTATTAAAAATTTGATTTCAACGCTTTCATCTTTTAGTAAAATAAGAAAGCAAAACGGAATTCATGGCCTGCCTTCCACAAACTTTAAGCTAAAGCTGAATTCGAACTCTTAAACCACACTTACTATCAAGGAGGTCGTTTGGGAACATTTCGAGGGATTTGCTTGTACTTTCTTTTGAAAAATCTCCTTCAACGCTTAAGGTGCATAATATCTATGGTCTTGAACTCTTTCTGCTGTTTTAGTCATTTCGGTGGAAAGAGAAAACAGTCAATTGATTTGAAATCCGTGGAACTGGTAAAATAAAACTTAGGCAATGGCTCAGAGTTGGCCTGTTCATCACTAGAAAGAAGAGATGCATTAGGACATGCAACCCTTTGTAATGTTTTGTGGGAAGTAGTATATTTAAATGTATGCCTGAATACACTCTGTTGTTTAGTTAAAAGTTTGTGTTTAAAACAAAATGCAACAATTACATGTACATGTATGTTACCATCATAGTTGTTTCACGGGTGAACTTATATCACTCCAACTCTGATGTCATTTTGTGAATGTCCAGTAATACTGTCTTTTTCTGTTTCTGATTTAAGGCGGCTAGACCTTTAATAACAGTGTATGATGAGGCAGGAGAAAATGTAGGGCAGACCACTCTGCCTGCTGTGTTTAAAGCTCCCATTCGTCCTGATGTAGTTGGTTTTGTCCACACCAACATGGCCAAAAACAAGCGGCAAGCTTATGCTGTCAACAAACTTGCTGGGCATCAGACCTCTGCTGAGTCGTGGGGTACTGGCCGTGCCGTTGCCAGGATTCCACGTGTGCGGGGTGGTGGTACTCATCGCTCAGGTCAAGGTGCTTTTGGCAATGTATCCTTACAATGAGAGGTAAAAGGTAAAGTCTGCATGCGAGCTAAGTGGCCCATCAGGCCGGAGCTTATCCCGGTTTCTGTAGCATGAAGCGACTAGGAGAATTTCTACTCCCCCCTGGATGGGATGCTAGTCCATCGCAGGGTTACCCCCAGCATTAAGTTCGCTGGTACCCATTTATACGCCTGGGTGGAGAGAGACACTGTGAGAGTTAAGTGTCTTGCCCAAGAACACAACACAGTGGCCCCAGCCAGGGCTCGAACCTGGACTGCTCGATCTGGAGACGAGCGCACTTATTATGAGGCCACCGCGCCTCCCAATGAGAACTCCCAATGAGAACTGTACATCAATTTATTAGTTTCCACAAGACTCCAAGAGTTGGCCAAGTGGTTGAAAGTGATTCAATATTAATGTAACATGCAGATCACATACAGCATTGCTGAACAGCTATCAATATACTGTGTAGACATGCTGTATAAGTTTGAAATAAGCCAGAAACATTTCTCAGACATCTTCTAGAACAAAGAGCTTTCAAAGGTCAAAGGAAAAACAGATTATCCTTTACTTTAAATTAAGATGTGTCGTGGTGGCCGTATGTTTGCTCCCACAAAAACCTGGCGCCGTTGGCATCGTAAGATCAACCAGAAACAGCGCCGCTATGCCATGTGTTCAGCCCTGGCAGCTTCAGCTCTCCCTGCTTTAGTGATGGCCCGAGGTCACCGTGTTGAAGAGATCCCTGAGGTCCCTCTTGTGGTGTCAGATGCTGTTGAATCCCTGCAGAAGACAAGTGCAGCAGTTAAACTGCTGAAGGCTGTTAATGCTTATGGGGATGTGGAAAAGTGCAAGGATTCCAAGAAGATCCGTGCTGGCAAAGTAAGTTTGGCATTACCATTTCAGAAATAGAACACATTCCCATAGTTTAAGTTGTTTGTAACTTGAATGGACTCTCACATCTTTTTTTTTTTTTGTAATTCAGGGTTTGTATTGTGACAGAATACAAATATTTTTATGAAGAGTTGTAGTAACATGCTTTAAATTGATTGAATCACAGAAAATGTAGTAGTTAGTTCATGTCTTAAATTATGTTATCTTGTTCTCATGGCAAAGGATCTTCCATACATTGTACTTCTTTGCAAAGCTCATTTAAATGAAAAAATTTCCTTTCCATGGGGTAAATCATATTGTAGAGGAATATATGTAACCTCCATCATGCTTGAGGTAAAACGAGGTAAAACGCTCAAAAGTATGTTACCAACTCTTGTCTGGTTTCTTGCGCATCTAATGTTGGTTTCAAATTCCTATTAGGGTAAGCTGCGTAACCGAAGGACTGTAATGCGCAAAGGACCGCTTGTCATCTACAATGAAGATCATGGAGTGAGGAAAGCTTTTCGCAACTTACCAGGGGTTGACATCTTGTCAGTGGATCGATTGAATCTCCTGAAGCTGTGTCCTGGTGGTCACATGGGCAGGTGAGGAGATCAAAGCAATAGCTAAATGTTGAAGCACATTGTGCAAGGTCAGCAAGAGTCACACTGTTGAGTTCTGCCTGGCCTATTAAATTTTACAACACTCAAGACAGTTAATTTTTCACTTGCTATTGCTTTAACAACAAATTGATAGCAATAGACTGACAACAGTTTTTGCTGACTTGTGTACTGGCAGGTTCTGTATCTGGAGTAAAGGAGCCATTGAGAAACTTGATGCATTGTATGGAACTGGAAAGAAACCATCTTCAGAAAAGAAGGATTTCAAGTAAGTCGATGTACTTGGGCTCACTGCGTGTACGGTACATGTACAGAGATATATGCTGGGATTAAAGTAGGCTAATGTTCCTGTGTAAGACACCACTGACTAATTCAGTGTTCTCCAAACAAGTAAGTTCTTGCGACCAACAAAAATCACTGTCTGCTAGGACAGAGCATTTTGGCTACTCTTGAGATAAATATAATTTTCAAGAAAGAACAAGTAAATTTTAAACCATTCAAAAGTTTTAGAAGTTTTCTATCCCTTTCAATAACCAAGTGGAGGCACAGTGCCTCATCGTTAGTGCACTTGTCTCAGGATTGTGTGGTCCAGGGTAGAACCCTGGCCAAGGACATTGTGTTGTGTTTTTGGGCAATTCACTTAACTCTCAAAGTGCCTCTCTCTACCCAGGTGTATAAATGGGTACCGCCAAATTTCATGTTAAGTGGAGGTACCCTCTGATGGACTAGCATCCCTTCTAGGGGGAAGTACATGTAGAAATAGTCTTAGTCACTTATATGTATACTTACCAGTCCAGGCTGAAAACCATTTTAAATTTAGCTGAAAGCTTAAAAGCAAAAAGTACACCCGGGGAAGTGACTTGGTGATCAGACTTTGACTAATCCCTTATTAAAACCAATCAACACACAAGGATTTAATTGTGTGATTGTTATGAATTCCGGAGACTGAACAAGGTGGCCCAAATAATTTTTCTGTGGGAAGGGAAATGAGAAGAAACTACATGTAGACCCCCATTTGGTAAAGGTAAATATTTGTTAAACAGTAGTGGTTTTCAGTTAAGTGTTGTAAGACAAAAACCAAAACCAAACCAATTACTTACTGATTAGACTACTCAGCCAATCTCAAATTGTAGTTACACCAAATGAAAGCCAAAGTAATTGCCTGACTACTTTCAACACTCATCTAAAAAGGCTCTAGACAGTCAAACATTCATCCCAGTTAATAAACAGCGATTTAAGTCACTAGTCTTGCACTCACATGAAGAACACCTGCTTGTTCAAAGCCTGATTAACTAACAAGAATAAGTGTGAATTTTGATTTCAGCTTTGTAAAATTTTCAGTCCGGTTTTTTTTATATTTTATTTGTTCTTCAGTTTTGAGTTTGAATAATCTCAAACTATACAAAACATAAGCAGTGAAATTAAACATTATTATAGAAGAGAAGTGAATACCCCCATTTACTTTTAACCCTAGGGTAGCATTAACCAGCTTTCGAATAACCTGGCCTTGAATAAGTACATAAATATATTTAGATATGGCATAATTTGAATGGGTGCAAAGAATTGACCTACAAAATACATTCAAAATGTTATCAGTTTGAAATCACAACAGACCACACGTGTTTGCATTTCTGCAAAGTGGTTTCTTACATGTACATCACTTATCAGACCTTGTTCTTATTTCGTGTAAAGTTATTTTTGTGCATTTTTAAAAGCAGTTTCATACTGATGAAGTGCACAATTAGTAAAGATGACATGGAAACTAGTAAGAGTGAAAATAGTACCAGGGATGGAACTGTTTCAAGGGCTGTTGCCCTTAATGTCGTGTGAACATCTCAAACAGATTGTTTTCACATCAATGACATTAAAAGTAACCCTTGGGTTTGTTTTTTTACAGTCTCCCTCAACCAATTATGAGCAATGCAGACCTCAATCGCCTGATCAACAGTGAGGAGATACAGTCTGTTATCAGACCAGCTGGGTAAGCAGTAAACAAACTTTGAAATAATCTTATGTTCTTATAAAACAGCTTGTGCCAGTGCTCTAATTCAGCTGTATCACTTTGTCATGATGCTCTGTCAAATGCCTGTAATCAATGACTCAGATGAGTATTAAGATGGCCTTGCAGTTATATTCTGACATCTGTAGACCTCAAAATACCAACAGTATATGAACCCCTTTTGTAATGACTGAAAAAGAACACAACAACTACAACAAGTAAACAATACATGTTCAGAGCATTGGCAGTAGATAAATTCAGTGGTGATTGGACTTTTTTCCCTCATTATAACTGACCATTCTGATGTTTATACCTAATCATGCCTTTTTGTATGCTTCGGCGACATATCAGGTGAGTTTGGTTGAGCCATGGTTCATATTTTGGCAAGTTGTAGTCAAACCAAAATACCCATGGTGAAACCAGACAAGCCTGATATGCCAAGGAAGCATTAGGTATAAGCATCAGAATGGTCAGTTTTTTTTTCTTTGCTAGAAGTTTACTGTACCAAGTTTCAGCCAAGTGAGCATGATATTGTAGCCATATCAGATCAGGTCACATTACCTGATATTGCAGGATATCAAGACAGTAAACACTGGTTCTGATTGGCTAATTGCAAAATTGAGTACAGTAAACTGTTGTAATTGATAGAATGGTCAATGGTCATTGTAATAAGGATTCTGTCCTTGCAGTATTAATTCCCTGCAAGCAGACTAGAATGATAGAAATTATCAACTAGATGGCTCAATGTTGTTACTCAAATGCGAAATTGTCAGTGAACATGTTGCGGTCATTTATAAAATAGGTTGCTATAGCAACAATATATCCTGCTAAAAGTACTTTAAATTTTGAAAAAGGTGGCTCAGAGCCCTCTCAGGAGAATTTTTAGACTTCACTGAAAGTTGTGTTTGAACAGGCTGAAAACAATTTGATTATGAAAAATAATCGAATTAATTTTTTTCAGTCATAAGCCTTTTTTCCTCCTTTATGAAATTCGTTGATATTCAGGTCTACCTTGCTACGCTAATAAATTGCACAAAGGTGTTTTGTACAAGATGTACTGTTGTTATGATTACATATACAGTGTAAGGCTAAGAAAGTGACCACATATCCACCAGTGATGTAACTCATATAGATAAAGGGGTGCAGTAATGACCCGTCAAAGCATAGTTAATAGAGGGAAATGGTTAGGAAATCTGGCAAAGTTTGCTATTTTGGGGGTTGACCCTGCACAAAACCTGACAAAATACAAAAGGTGGTTATGTGTGCTCATACAACCAACCAATGGAACATTAAGATTACGTTATTCGTGCATAGTCTATGAGCATGAAACAAAAGATGTGCAGGGTCAAGGACCCTCCAACATAGATCTTAGCTTGTTTATTTGCTTCTTTGATGTTTACCGGCCTTCCTAACCATTTCCCTCAATTAACTATGGTCAAAGTGCTGGAAAGTGCAGTTAGCCGCCGCCAGCCATGTTGAAAGAGATGTACTTTATTCAGTAATGATAATTGGCTTTGGCTAGGGATTGAAAGAGGTGATTTTGTTTTGCAGACCATCAAAGAGCCGCCGGGCAACCCGCAAGAAGAATCCACTAAAGAACATTGGCATCATGATGAAACTGAACCCGCACGCCAAGAGCGTCAAACGAGCTGAAATGCTGACTGTGGAGAGGAGGAGAGCGGCTAAAGAGGCTGTACTGAGTAAGAAGAGAGAAGGAAAATAAGCTACTCTGATGCTGTGTTAAATGGACGAATAAAAACAGCAATTAATTCAGTGGAATTTTGATCTGTCTTTTTTTTTTTCGACTGTTTATTTAGTGGATGATTCAGAAATGGGACCCTTTCATTTAAACTGTCTTTTCGCCGTTTATGTAGTGTTCAAAAGCGATTGTTGATTCCTGGACTTAATGTTGTCCTGCTGACTGAAAATTACTTACAGAC